AGCATGAACATGACAACATGACAAACCTTGGCTCCAAATTGTGAAGTGCGTTTTGCTTTTCTCATTCAGCTAGGAGGACCTTAACATTTATGTCTTCTCCAAATCTCAAGCTGGCTTTTTTAAGGAGATACTTTCCTGCCAGAAATACACTTCCAGAATTGGCATTACCTGCCGAAAAATGATCGCCTTATAAGAAACTTTTTACGATGTATTTTTGAACGAATTTCGGTCATCCCTTCTCAATTTTTGATTTGAAGACAAACCGATTACAGAATTGTGCCATCCTCAGTGTAATTTTTCCTTCTATACTAGGAAACGAAACTAGCTTCTAAGCACCAAGAAAAATTTGCGAAAAGGACCACACGGCTCAAAATGCCGCTAGCTATTGAAAGACTACAAAGTTTACGAATTTTTCCTTAGCCCGTTTAAAGTTGAAATGCATGCACCTAAGCCATTGTCGTACAGCTTTGACTTAATAGCAAATAATTTGATATGTACGTGTGCTAATCAGCTCCACCCAAACCCAGTAGAATTACGTCATGTTCGATTGTAAGTTTTTAGGTTTTTAGGAAATTTATATATGTATGTATGCATTTACTTTACGCACCTTATCCCACTCATAAATGTGTGCAAATGTTCGATAACTTTAACTTCTCTGCCAACTCATACAGCTCAAGGCAGGCAAGTGGCAAAAAAAAAATTCAAACATAAAACGCTTAGGTTTGGCATTACGCTGATTGCATTGATTTCCGCAACTTCGAGGCTACATACATACATATTCAGGCTAATGATGGGATGGTGGTCATGCTACTAGCAATGTGGTCGATTAGCGGTAAAAGTCGCACACTCATGCACAAAACGAACTCCATATGGGCATACCTAACTAAGTGTTTTTGCAACAAAAAAAAAAACCCCAAAACTGTTCTACACATTTGTGCTTATTGTTATTGCTGGCTGGCAATGCATTGCTGCATTTGATGGCAAACGTGCCACTTGCAACGCCCACGCGCACAAATCATTGCATGCCGATAGGCCTAAACAGTTGGTACCTAGTTGACAATTTTTTCGCGCGAATTTCACGCGCGTACAACACACCCACACGTACGCCCCACGCCCCACGCGCCACGCCTCAACAGGAGCTAGCTGCTGAAAGATAAATATGCAATGCGTACTATTTGCACATTTTTCTAGCGGCCATTTAACTGTCATCGCCGAACGATTCTAGTTGCAAATGAATGTACGAGTGCGAACATGGAATTGAGTATTTGAGCTTTGGTACATAGATATGTTTGTAGGCATGTATTTATTTGCACATACTTACTATTTTGCATGTTTGCACAAACACTCGCAAGTAGTCAACCAGCAACGCACGTGAGTTTACGCTCACTCATCAAGAGGCCAGTGCACCGCTGTTGCGGCGGCCACTGACGCAGAATAAATCTGCATGCAAAAGTTGCAGTTGCTGCATTTAACAGTACAGTAAAAGTGTATGTATGTATGTATGTATGTAAAAATATGTGTGCACATTTGTGCATTCAAGTAAATTATCGCATGATGAAGTGGAGAAGTGCAAAATGCATACTCAAATAGCGAGTGCTGGCGAGAATTGCATTGGTGAAAAAATGAATTTTTTGTGGCGTTTTAACAGCTGCTGCTGCTGCTGCTGCTGCTGCGGCTTGTGCTGCAAACTCTGTTTCTTCTGCAGGTTTTGGTGTGTAAGTGTGTGGGCATTTCTATGCGTGTACGGCACTTATCTCACAGATAAGTATATGTATAGCTGCATGTTTACAAAGTGTTTTCCAACTGTTTCATGCATTTCTGTCACTGTGACTGTCGCCTCAGCAGCAAAGCTGCATCAACTAAACTTCATGTTGCTTACGTATACAGGGTGATGTTTACAAAAGAAAAAATAGAAAACTTTTACATCTGGAACTATTGATCATCGGATAATGTGAAAGGTTTGCCTGGGTTATTGTGTCAGCTATCAGCTATCAGAGTTGTAGGAGGCACACACAGGCCGTCATTGGCACGTTGCGTATCGCAGTAGAGGCTCTCTATATGTATTCTTGGATTCTTTTATTTTGCGGAGAAAGATAGAGAAACCAATTCGGGATTCTGATGAAGATCACAAAACAAAGAGTGCCGGTTGTACTACTCAGCTTATACAAATACTCAAAAAAGTATGAAATGTCTAAGGGCCTCGAAATGCCAGGCCGTGACATAAAAAATAACCTACAGCAGAAACTACGACAAAAGTCATTCGACCGCAGAACCATTCCATTAGCGGGTAATAACTACGATTACACGTCGAAGCAGTGACAGCGTCAGTCCGCAGAATGTGATGCTATTTTGCTCGAATTTTATCACTTCAATTTTTTATTTCCAGGCTATTTCTACGCACCTAAATTTTACGTCTAAATTAGATTTATGGTTTTACTTAGTATTTCTAGCTTAACTTAACACTTTATGCGAAATTAAATAATTCCGAGAATTCGAAAAAATTACGAAATTGATCAGAAAATATCAGAGTAGTTTCAAAAATCTCAGAATAGACCAGAGAATGCGGAACTAGCTTCTATAATTCAAAATATATTTAGATCTGCAAATAATCGCTAAAGTTCCGAGCATCCCGAAATAGTCCCGAAAAGTTTGAAAACCCGAAGTAGTCCAGAAGTGCTGAGAATCCCGAAGTAGTTCAAACATGCTAAAATCGCACAGATCCCGAAGTAGTCGCCAGATTTCAGAGAATTCCGAAATAGTCTCGAGAATTCCGTAGTAGTTCCGAAAATTCTGAAATCCCGAGTTATTCCCAGATGTCCGGAGCATGCCGAAATAGTCATTAAAATTCCGAAAATCCTTAATTTCCGCAAAATACCGCAAAGTAAAACAGTAATTATTCCGAAAATTATAAGCGCAAAAATTTTGCTTGTTCAAGTATGTATGTACGTGCAAAAAAAAAACTTTTAGTAAAAGTAGTAGTAAACAAGAGTTTGGGGGGTGTGCATAGCTCAGTGGTTAACGCTTCTGACATCGATGAAGCGGGTTCAACAATCCCTGCTGAAGTCGAGAAAAAAGAAGTCTGATGAGATGTGGTAATCTCCGAAATAGCTGCTGTAATTTCTACTGCTTATAGATTTTGTTGCTTTTTCTATTGTTTTTATTTTTTTATTTTTTCGGTGATATCGACATTCGACAACAAAAAATGATAGTTGCACAGAAATAATTGAAACACTTCCATAGCACAAGTTTAATGATTTTTGGATAGTTTTTTTTTACTGACATTAGGGTGGTAGTCTAGGCTGACAAGAACTGAGATCTAGTGTGTAAGTGCTGGTATGAGTTACTTGAGATCAATGAATTTTGGAACAAAAAAAATGTTTTCTTAACGACCAGAATATCGATACATCTAATATATAAAAATCTCGTGTCACGGTGTTAGTGGTCGAACTCC